TTTGCCCCAATCCACACCTTTTTTAACCCCTGTCAGGAGGTTCAACTATTTTGGTGCAGGTTAGAGGGTTCCAGTTTAGTCTGTTCCCAGAGTGTGTGGTTGTTTGAAATGGACTAAACTAGAGCCTTGCACCTCCTTACAGTGCTAATTTCTGGTATTCTGAAGTGGCTTACAAGCCACATCAGGAGATTGGAAATTGAACGCTTTCTCTGATCATCTGTGGATGGTCAGGGGAAGTGAAATAATTTTTTATTCTGTCTGCTAGATCATCACTGATATGATGAACACTTTGATTAATTTTTTGTAAAAAAAATATGTATTGCTGGTTGAAACCAACCTCCCCCCCAAGTGAGATAGTGATGGTTCAGTAGGAAAAAATAACACATCAGACTACAATGTTTCCATGTAGCCCAAATCCTATGATCCTGGCATCCATTACTTGACAAACCCCACAGAGTTGTGCATACATGCCAGTGTAAGGGTGGATGGATACAGGACAAAACCACAAGTGCAACAATTTAAAAATCTGGTGCAGCCCCCTAGGCAAAACACCTTACAACACACCTTAAAATGGATTAACAGTAGTCCCAAGAGGATGCACACACCAGCCCAAAAACCATGTGATTTTCATGTAACTTTAAAATGACTCCAGAAGCCCAGATTGATCTCATAATTTATTTTAATAGGGTTACTACACCCTGAGACAACTTTTTTTCTCTTTCCTTTCCTTTCCTTTCTTCTCGTGTTAACCAGGCTTTGGTGCCAATTATGCTGGTCAAGCTGATTCCATCAGTGGGTATTTCCCATTGGATTCAAGTCACAAGGAGTGACAGATCACCATAATGTAATGACAGAAGAAATGACAATTGACAGAATATTCCCTTTTTGTAACTCTTTTTTTAATTTATTTATTTTCTTTTTAAAATAAATTTTATTAACATCCATAGTATAACAATGTAAGTTAGAATTGTAGTACAATACTATCACATTACTTACATATTCTTTCAGTAGATTCTTTATACATCCACTACTTTATATTTAACATAATTAATTCTTTTTAAACTATTACATGCCAGCAATCCAAATTACTTCCCATATCACATCCTTTTCATATGTTAATAATGGTTGCCAGGTTTTCATAAATTTGTCCTGTTTTATTTCCCCTCTATATATTTTAATTTAATTTTAATATTTTAATTTATAAAATTTAATTTATAAAATACAAACAGCTGCCCAGAGTAGATTTCAGTCTAGATGGGCGGGGTATAAATTTAATGAATAAATAAAAAAATAAATTTGATTGGTCAGCTTTTCCCTCAGGACTATTTGCCAGATTCTGTTCTCAAATTTTTGTACTGAAAGATCCCCTTTATGTAACTCTGAAAAGTAACAATATCCCTGTCAGAGTCAAGACTATTCATTTAGCAACCAAAGTATCCTCATGGCTTCTGTGTCTTTCTTTCCCTGATTCTCCACTGTTGTTGATTTCCTTTCTGCCAATAGTGCACAAACCGTTCTTTTTCTCGGCTATATTGGAAATTTTGATTACTTTCTACTTTCTTCTAGCTTTCTTTTTCTCCCCTATTTTATATCACTAGCAACCAACCAGCACAATGTTCTTTCCTTCGTCTTCTCTCTACTTTGCGTCATCTCCTTCTGCAGAGATTCCAACCATAATGGAATGCTTGCAGAGAATTCTGGGTAGTGTTTGTGAGTTAAGACCTGTGTGCTCCAGCTCAGCCAATCAAGCAGTTGCTTCCAGGGGAGTCTTTTATAGTGCAATAGCCTTCTTTATCCAGGGAATTCTATGAGGAGGATCACACAATGTCTTCTTATACTACTTGTAACTTCCCAACTGTTTCTGCCATCTTTTTTTCTAACACCAGGAAAAAGAAACCATTAAGATTTTGGAAAAGGGGTACGTTGCCCAATGATTTTGACTGGCAACATTTAGGAATCGTCTGCCTCAGAGCACACAGAAATCATACACAACAAAGCCAGTACAAAGCAGACTGTGAAGCACTTTGAGAAGCAAGGGCTACACTACTGAGATATAATATAAACAGTCTTTTAACAGGTTTATAAATAGTTTGCAAACGATAAGTTTGCAACAATAAATAGCAGTAAACAATATTTTAACCAATTATTTGGGTATTATTGTAAACAGTCTTTTAACAGGTTTATAAATAAATAGCAGTAAATAATATTTTAACCAATTATTTGGGTATTATTACAGTTGCTGTAAGGTATTGTAATATGCTAGCAGATGGTGGTAATCAGCGTCAGGTGATTCCTTGATTGACTTACAAAAAGGACACTGGATTTCTTACAGGAAAAAAAGTGATATTTTTGAAAGGGAGAGGTTAAGGATACAAAAGAAAAAAGGTCACCACTTTCTTTGCTGTATTCAGTAAATTGTGTTGGTTACTTACTAATAGCATAGCCAGTAATCCTCATTCTGTATGGACAAAAAAACATAAGCATTATCCTGGACACTGAAGTGTTTTTACCTGGCAAATCAGATATAACTCTTACACCCTCTTTTCCAAACTGCTTAATAAACTTTTCAAGTACTTCTATCAGTAAACTCTTAAGATGTTCTATTTGGCATAGATTTTCATGCACAATCGACCGCTTGATTGCCTGCAGGACTGAGCAATGGCATCCTGGAGGATCATTTATTTGAAAGTTGCAACGCCGGAGCCCCCATGTTAAAATGATTTCAAAGGATGCATTACTGCCATTGTTTCCCATTATGGACAACACCAACCTTTATACATATGTCACACTGACTAATCAAAGATTATAGGGTTGTATTAGTGCAACCCAAGAAACACTGATACCCAAAACAGAAAAATGTCTGGATGCTGTCACTTACAATATTTTTTAAAAAAATTATAACAAAAGAGAGTAATAAACAAGAAATTGCTGATCTGTGATATACCGCTTCTTGGAAGCATATCTTAACATGATGGTGTTTGAAAGGGTTTGAATGTGTCACTGAAGCTGGGAATAGTGCCACGAGGAGGCCAGACTTCATTATGAGCCTGGACTCCTAGCAGGCTCACCCAAGGTAGAATGGTGACAGCTGAGACACCAAACTATGATGCATCCACCATCTTCAAGCAAAGGGGGGAAAGGAAAGTCCGATGCTGCATGACACATACAACTGGAACATTGAAAATATGTACCAAGATAAACTGTAAGCAAGAAATGGAATATATAAACATTGCAGTTCTTAGTGTGGCTTAGGCAAGGTCCACACCCCTCCACTTACCTCCAGCAGCAGGCAAAGGGGTGGGGATGGATAGGGACGAGAGCCGCCCTTTCTGGCTGTACCTCCTTGCGAGGTGCCATGGCCTGGAGGCTGTTCCAAGGCAGGAGAGTAAGAGGAGGGATCCTACCCGCTTTCCTGAGACTGAAGGACCAGGTGAACAAGCCAGGAGCCGGACTCGGAGAGAAGGATGAGCTGTGCACAAGGCAAGGGTGCCCCATGCCCAGTATCAGGGAATTTGGGAACCACTGGTCTGAGATATGCCAATGACACTATCAGAGTGGCAGAAAGCAACAATGACTTGGAATTACTTTTGGTGAAAGTGAAAAAAGAAAATGTCAAAGTTGAACATTAAGAAGACAAAAATCATGACTACATAAGAACTACACCACTTGACAATTAAGAAACTGAAATAGTTAAGAGATTTTGTATACCGTGGTTCAACCATCAATCCAGATGGAGACTGCAGCCAAGAAATCAGAAGGCTTGGAAGGGCAGCAGTGAAGGAACTGGAGTTGTAAAGATGTGTCACTGCAAACCAAGACCAAGGCCAAGATCATCCAGACTCTTGTATTTCCAGTCACTATGTATGAGAGATCATCCAGTATTTCCAGTCACTATGTATGAGTGTGAAAGATGAACAGTAAAGAAAGCTGAAAGGAGTTAAAAATGGATTTCTTTGAAATACAGTGCTGGAGGAGAGCTTTGCAGATACCCTGGAATGCCAGAAAGCCAAACAAGTGGGTCCTAGATCAAATCAAGCCTGAACTATCTCTGGAGGCAAAAATGATGAAACTGAGGCTGTTTTGGGAACTTCATGAGAAGGCAGGATTCTCTGGAAAAGACAATAATGTGGAGAAAGGTTGAAGCAGCAGGAAAGTATTGACTCCCTAAAGGAAAACACAGGATTGAATTTACAGGAGTTGTGTAAGGCTGTTGAGGATGGGACTTTCTGGAGATTGCTCATTCATAGGGTAACCATTGGTCGGAGGCAACTTAATGGCACATAATAAGAAAGTGTTCCTCAGACAACAGCCTCTTTATTCTAGCTAATTATAGGGATGGTAGCTTTTACATATTTTTTTCTATAATTCTACCATTTCTGTTCAAACAGATTTTTCAGAGTTCTGGAGCACTACAGAAGCCCGCAGATCCTATTTTATTAGAGGCAATTGTAGAACAGGAAGAATATATTCATATTGCAAACAGCGACTGCTCAGTATCATGACCATTCTGAATTTGGGAGGCTGTGTGTTTGTTTTTGATGGGAAGGGAGAAATTGGATTGAGCTGTGCTGCTATGAGAAGAAAGCTAAGCCTTTCTTCATTATCCTATTTCCCCAATTAAAACTGTACTTCAGCAACCTCCAGTGAGTTGTAAAATGAAAACAGACAGCTATAACAGAGATACAGTCCACATTATATCGTGTAAATATTATGAACCTGTATGAAACTAAAGGACATAAGGAAGAAAAGTTCCAGCTTAACTGTCTGATGTGCTGGCTTTCTGAATGTAGATGTTGTTTATCTGTAAACTCCTCCTTGTAGTCTTGTACTGTGAAAATATATATGCAATATATTTCATTTTACCACTTCAAGGCAATTATATTTCATCAGCTCGTGATCAAAGAGCTGGCAGTGATAACGATTTACCCCTGTGGGTTACTTGGTTTTTGTTTTGTGCTACTAAAGTCACCAGCTATATTTCTCATTTGCCCCCCTTTTAGGAGTCTGTCATGATTGTTGTCTTCGGTTTGGAATTTATCATACGCATCTGGTCTGCTGGGTGCTGTTGTCGATATCGCGGATGGCAAGGAAGACTGCGATTTGCAAGGAAACCATTCTGTGTAATAGGTACGTTTTCAGACATGGCTGTTAAACAACATTGTTATGTGAGCAGCAGTGTAGAAGCTCGTTTGCCATTGTTTTGATTTCAGGCCTCTTGTATTGTGATCTTGATGAGTTCCTCGGTTTTTGTATTATTCACTAAGGAAAGGGGGAAATGGAAATTAATATGTAGATTTGGTTTGCTAGTTATCACAAGAAGTGCAGTAAACGTGTGAATGTGTTTCTGGTACATAATTTTTTAAACATTTACTAGACTGTCTGGTGATAGCAAACCTCACTGTACTTTTCATTATTTTCTCTTTGCCCTTATAAATGTCCTACAATGTATTTCAGGAACAAAATAGTTCTCAGTGTTAATGAGTTTTGTTTAAGTAAATGTGTCATTTCCCCCTCCCCTTTTAAAATAACTGCCGTGTTACAGTTTTCTCCACTGAGAGAACGGGTATAGCAATTAAAGAATTTCCTTACATGCTGTTTGTACGTGGTCTTCTTAAATGCCTCACACAAGAACTATCAGTGATTAATCAGCCACCTCCATAAATTTATGAGTAAACAGCATAAGGGGGCTCATGATTAGATGCTGGATATTTTAGCATTTATATTTTAACCATTCTCTATATAATTTGTTACAGTTTCTTACTGCAGTGTTATGCTGATATGTACATAGTAGGTATGCCATTGATTATGTGATTAAGGACAAATTAATTAGGTTAGCATTTTAAGATCACAGGAAAAAAATGATGAATTTGAACTTGAGGAAGGAGAAATAGAAAGGAGAAAAAGAGATTAGAGTGTGCCATCTCCCCAGATAATAGTGTCACAGAAAGAGGGAGAGAGAAAAGAAAAAGAAGGATTGATTATAAAGGGAAATGATGAAAAGGAATTGGAGGAGAAAGAAGTAAAGGTGGACGTTTGTCTGGTAGAAGAAGGAAAGGGAAAGGAAGGGGAGGAGTTAACCTTACCAGTGTGGGAGGAGGATATAAAAGAGGAGGAGAAAAGGAGAGGTTTCAATATACCGTGGGAAGGAATAAGAAAGGAAGGAGAGTCTAATTATGGAAAAATGAGGGAGTTATTGGAAGATTTTCCCAACTTAAAAGTGAGAGGATTGTTGTTACCTGAACCTGATCAGAAAGAAAAGAAGGTGACAATAACAGAAATGCAAGAATGGACAGTCGTGGTTTTCCCGCGAGCGCAAGGTCACTGGAGGAGGGTGATCAGACCTGATTCATCATTCAATCAACCACCGTGCAAGGGGGATTGGGCTCGGCATCCATGTTGCGGCACAATATGTGCAGTGAGGAGCGTTCTGCTGAGGAAGCCCATGGACAAAGAACGGTTCGGGCCAGCCCCATAATAGACTCTCCAAAGTCACCATTTGAATTCTTACCATCTCCTTATGAACAATTACCTAATCTGAGCTGTTTTGACCCTGTTGAAGTTGTCGTTGAATCCCTGAATGTTAAACCAAATAAACTTGTTAATCGTTCAAATGACTCTTCTTGGTTATTTCCTGCCGAAAAAGAGGAACTGCGCCAACCTTCAATTGAACCTAATCACAGATGGCTATTTATCCATCATCCTCAAAGAGGATTTGTGCAGGGGGGGGGGAAAGAGGACACGGGGATAACTTCTGAAAATCATGTCTCCACCAGAATGGGCCTAAGGGAAGACAGGCCATGAAAAGTGGGACCTTAACAAAGCCACGGTCTCTTTCTGTCACACACCGAGCATCCTTCTGGGATCAAATTTTAGAGAGCAGATTTGAAACTGGAAAGTACCTAGAGATAATTTTAAATGGGAGGACTGCTCAGAAGAAAAGAGGCTTTTGGCCACACTACATGGTGCTGTACTCAGTTTCTCGGGAGTAAGTCATATTAAACTCAATAGGACTTATTTCTGAGTAGACATGTGTAGGACTGCACTATCAGGCACCATTTGTTTTTCACCCTACTAGCAGTCTTAAGGCATTTTAGTTAACATTTTAAGCATCTGTGTTTCTGATCTCTAGGTGCCTAAAAACTCTTTCCACAAAGTACTCCAGTGTCAGACCGTGTACCAATTATACCCATATGAAACATGGTCAGCATGGTCTGGCAGCTACTAAGCACCTTTGAGCCCAGATGGGCCTACTCCCTAAACATGTCTGTCTTGCACATGGTGGGACTTTGGATTGGGAACAGTGTTGGTGCTCATTTCTACCATCCATTGACCCTCTTATATGACCTCAAATGCGTTACATGATCTGATGTCAACATTGGTTATTTTGTTTGCAGCATTGTAAGATGATAACCATTTAACATGGAGCAGATCTTGTGTTGACATGGCCCCCATTCAGAAATGCTGCTGCCCACCTCCACATCCTCTATCCCTCACCTCTCCTAAGAAGGCCTCCCAAGGTGCAGCATCACTTTTCTACTAGGTGGCACAGTTGTGCTTTGTGCAGCCCACCCACCATCTTAATCACCCCAACTGCAATGGCAAAGGGTGCATTTGGGGCCCTTGCTAAGATGATGAGCACCTGATACAGTACACAGTGTCGGCTTGACTCACATTTACTACTGCTCTCAGGGGAAACGTTTAATTTTCATAGCAGCAAGTGTGCGTGAAAATATCATCACTACTGCCATGGAGGGGTACTTTGGACAACTCCAATATCTAGAACTGGCTAAAAAAAAAACCTTCTTCAAATTAATGCTGTGGAAGGATATAGAGCAACCCCAAAATCTAGAACTGGCTTAAAAAAACCTTCAAATTAATGCTGTGGAAGGATATAGAATTGAAGTCATCTATGTTTAGTGTATTTTTAAAAATGTGAATTATGAATGATAATCATTAGTTCCCCAAATATTTATACATCCAATTCAGAAAGTAACCTACCAGGGGTGTTCATGTGCAAGTGCCCCCTGAAATGGACTGGAAAGAACAAGAGAGGAAAGCAAGCCACGAGGATACTTCTCCCTGTACCATCATGATCAGCACAAGACTGCCTCTGAAGAAAGAAGCAGCCCTAGGCAAACATGATCCAAGATATTTTGGTACCTGAATCAGAAATTCCAAATTGTTTCCCACAACAGTAAAAAACAGATTAATAAATTAACAGTGTGTTAAAACTACCCTATAGACACCTAGCCTTCTGCCTTATCTTACCATGAGCTGGAAATAGCAATCGGCAAGGGAGGAAAAAGAAAGGAAGTTGACACTGTGAAAACCACCAGTATCATACATTTTTTTTACCTAATGGTTCCTCTGAAAGAGGAAAGTCCCCGTGACAGAGCATTAAATCACGTGCATTTTTCACCATCACAATCAATTCAAAGTAGGTTTGTGCTTCTCTTTTCTCCTTCTAAAGCGTTGCAGTCCTTAATCTCTTTTCGGGCCTTAACTTCTGTGTTTGAGATAAGACAGGTATACATTCCATCCCAGTGTCACTACATTGACAAACATCACGCGATAGTGAGGGGGGAGAAACAAAAAATTGATCATCTGAGCAGCGGGCCACAAAGTGAGTTCTGCCAAGTAGTAGTCCCAGAACTTCTCTCTGAATTCTTTCAAACTTTCTGCCAGACTATGACCTTGAAGTAAGCCCATCATTGTGAAATACCAGCATCCAAAGAATGGAGCAAAGCCCTGATCAATTGCTACCTTTATGATGACAACTTTAACATGCTGAATTCCTTTTCTTGGGGTTATTTTGTCTACCCAGGAATACCAGTAATGTAGAAGTGGTCCCATGGTACATCCTGTAATAAACATGTGAACTGCACGATCAGTATCCCACTTCCGTGTTGGGTTTTTCCTTCTCTCCAAAGACTGCTGAATTACATCTGCAGTTCCAAGCAAAAAACCACTGCTCACTGTATTGGTAATTATTAGATTACGACCTCCAAAAAGCGGTGCATAGAAGCGTGCCAGTGCAGCCAACTGTCGTATAATACGCGCACGCATTTTGGTTTCCTGCTGTCTGAAATAAATGCTTGAAAGTGAGATAACTACGGTGAGGATATTTTCCTTGATCTTTCATCTTCTTCCTTTCCCAGACACAATTTTCTTTTTCAGGAACTACTACACTGTAGTTTTGTAGGGGTTATTTAAGTCTTGATGACTCATGGTGAAGACCAATGGGAAAAAAATACCCTTGGTTAAGAACATAAGATGAAGCACAGGAAATACATCATAATATTCCAGGGAGGAATTTTACTTGCACTTTATTATGATGTCATTGCTGAACCACAGCATCTTGCATTTACGTAATGTAGCAGAAAAATAAATCACATTTACTAAACAAATATGCATAAAGAGCTGCCCTTATACCACGTATGAGGCCCAATCCAGAGGAAGGAAAGAAGATCTCCTTCAACTTATCAAATGTAATGTGACTTAAATGTACATTGTCCTGGTTGCTGTTAAGTGCACTGTCTTCAATTTATAACAGCCATATTTATTAATGACCTTCAAAAAGTACTTGCCATTATCAGCCCTGCTTGAGACTTGTAAACTAAAGGCCATAACTAGCTTTATTGAATCAATCCATCTCTTATCCGGTCGTCCTCCTTTTTTACCTACAGGACACCCTCATGCAGGGCACTTGTAGTTCTGGATTATATAGCTTAGCTATTCTAGAGTGTTGATAGTTCACCATTGTGTATATGTGTGTGCATTTTAATCATAACATCAGGCAGTTCCAAAATTATATATGTAGTGGTTTGGGGGAAAGGTTATGTTCAGTGCAAGTCTAAGGAATCCTTTTTATTTTGATCATTAAAGTCATAATCTGCAGAAAACTAGAGTAATCAAATTGGCCTCTTCTGCACTGTTATAGCAGATCATCATACACTACGTGCTAAGAGATGCGTTCTACAAATTCTCATTGAGCAGGTAATTCTCATTGAGCCACCAAAAAATTGTATTACTGTATTCTGTTGCACAGCAACAGTAGGAATCAATTTCCACACTCAGGTTATTACTTAGGATTATTGCGACATTTAAGCCATTTAATTTGGCTTAAA